CAATCAATCATCTCAGCCACATAGCATCATTCCATGCCATGTAATGGCCATGTATTCTACTTCTATTGTAGACAAAGCTACTATATTTTGTAAAGCAGCTTTCCAACTGATAGCACAGCCTCTAAGGGTAAACATATGCTTTGTAAGTGATCTCCTCTTACCAAGATCTCCTGCATAATCTTAATCCACATACCGAATGATTCCATCTGAATTTCTACCAAAATGCGAACAAGATTAGAAGAGCCCATCAATTATCTGTAGATCCACTAAACTGCTTTCCAATGTTCCTTGTTAGGATTTGTCATGTATCTGCTAACTGCACTAAATGGATGTGCTAAATCAGGTCTTGTACAAACCATAGTAAACATAAGCGAACCAACTAACTGAAATAAGGAACTCAGACATGTAATCAATGTCTTCATCTGACCAAGGAAACAAGTTAGATGATAATTTAAAGTGGGCAGCCAAGGGAGTACTGACAGCCTTTGCATTCACCATTTTGAATCTTTCAAGCACCTTCTCAATATACCCCTTCTGACTCAAATACAATCTGCCAGCCTTTCTATCCCTCAAGATTTCCATACCAAGAATTTTCTTTTCTACATCCAAATATTTCATATCAAACTTCTTGCTGAGTTGAAACTTCACTTTTCTGACATCTACTTTATCTTTGACTGCTATGAGCATATCATCAACATATAATGGCAAATATGTAGTTGATACACTATCTTCTTCTCTGAAGTACACACAACTATCATAATTACATCTGAAAAAATCATGAGTAGTCATGAATGAATCAAACATCTTATACCACTACCTCGGTGACTACTTTAGTCCATACAAAGACTTCTTTAACAAGCACACATAGTCTTCTTTTCCAGAGACTATGAACCCCTCTGGTTATTGCATGCAAATGCTCTCCTCAAATTCTCCATGTAAGAATGTTGTCTTGACATCCTTTGTTCAAGCTCCAAGTCATTCTTAGCCACAACTCCAAATGAAGCATGGATGTAACTATACTTTACAACTGGAGAGAACAAATCTGTAAAGTCAACACCTGGAATCTGATTGTAGACCTTTACCATCAATCCAGCCTTGTATCTAGCATCTTCAATCCCTAATGTACCTTCCTTTCTTTTGAACACTCATTTGCAGCGAATAATCTTTTTACCTCTAGGTAATTTCATCAAGGCTCAAATGTTATTTTTACTCAATGACTCCATTTCTTCTTGCATTGCAATCATCCATATGCTAGAATCACTGCAATAGACTGCCTCTGAATATGTAGCAAACTCCTCAGTGGAATCAATGTCTTCAACCACACTCAATGCATAAGCTACCAAATCTGCTTCCCCATACTTCTGTGGAGGTCTACTCTGTCTGCGATATCTTTTCTTAGCTATAGAATACTGTGATGTTGGTGGTGTAGGCAAAATAGGCAAGAAATAACTGTCTGTCAACCCTAAATTGGACTAATCTGTAGTAGACTGTTCTGCAACCTCTAATTGTTCTTCTGAACTAATTTCCAATCCACCTCAGTTGAATGATTTTGTTCATCAATTTTATCAAAATCCACAAGAGGTGAACCACGAACCATAGCAAGTTCATCAAATACTATATCCTTACTAACAACTACCTTTCTTGTCTCAGGACACCACAATTTATACCAATTTACACCTGATTTATACCCAAGAAAGATGCACTTTCTTGACCTAGGCTCCAACTTTCTTGACAGATTTTGCGTATTTAAAATATAGATATTGTTACAAATGGTATTTTGAGAAATACAAATAAATAACTCTTCTTGTTAGGGATGGCAACGGGGCGGGGCGGGGGCAGGGATGCCCTCCCCGT